AAAAAAAAAAATTTTTTTTTAATGTTTGTTTATTTTTGACAGAGAGAGAGAGAGAGAGACAGAGCATGAGTGGGGGAGGGGCAGACAGAGAGGCACACACAGAATCTGAAACAGGTTCCAGGCTCTGAGCTGTCAGCACAGAGCCTGACTCGGGGCTGGAACTCATCAACCATGAGATCATGACCTGAGCCGAAGTCGGACGCTCAAACGACTGAGCCACCCAGGCGCCTCTCCCTATGGCCTTTTAAAACCAAAATTATTGTTTACAATAGCCCCTTCACGTTTTCTTCTGGAACATTCTACATGTGCTGTATTACAATGTGTCAGAATTGTATTTCTTACAGCATATGCACCTGAGAGATTTTCATTTTTTTGTGAGCACGAGTGTTCATAGAACCATTTTATTCCTACTGAAATAAAGGAATTCTCCATCTGGCTATCCCAGCTTTTCCTGAAATATCCCACCTGCTGCCCAGTTGCTTCGTTGGCAGCAAGGTGGTTGATGTTCACCGTGCGGAAGGCTGAATTGTAGGAGCGGGGCGATGATGGAGGTCCATGCAGGTCTGACGTTGTGGCTCGCAATTCAGTTCTGAGCAGACTCGCTGCATTACCGCGAAGCACGCCCAGGGCATTCCTTGTCTCGGAGGCGTTTCGGGGCATCAGACTCCCGTTTTGTCTAGCGTTTTGACCGATGGGGTTATTGTAATGTTTAAAAAGTGCCACTTGACTTTCATCCTAGTGCCCTCAGCCATGCCCTCCAGAAAATGCTAGCAAATGAGGCTTGGACGCGCACTTAAAGCTGGCTGGACTTTTAACACTTTGTTACATTCAGCTGATTACGGAAGGACATCTGGTTTTTTAGTGGGGAGGTTTTCCAACCTCTTAGGCTCTCAGTACTGTCTTCAAACGGGGCTAGCTGTCTCGTACAAATGGTTTCTTTAGTACTTCTTTGAAAAGCCACGGCCTCGTCTTTTCCTGGGAGTTTGGCTGCGGCGGAAACGAGGCACGTAGGGCTTACACGGAGTGAGAGCCGGGAGGACGGTGCTCCAGGTGGCTGACGTGCTCCAGAGTTGAAGAATCGTTCCGCAGGCGGTGGGGGCAGTAGGGAGAGCGCGGGCAGGGGCCCTCAGGCCGCAGCCGCCGCCCCTTGACTTCGACGGGGGCAGAGTTACTTCTCTCTTCTCGCGTGCGGGGTCTGTGGCTGCAGCACAGGCTCCTGTGAGGACTATCTGTGCAGAGGTGACGGAGAGTGTCCAGTGTCACGACGGGTGCCGGGTGCCCCTCGGCTGCCCCTTCCGTCCCGGCCAGAGAGCGCCGAAGTTGGCCGTGACGCAGACAGGCGCAGATGCGGTTTCGAAGCGAAGCCAGGACGTCTTTGGTGGGCAGCTCTGCCTTCTGCTGAGGTGAGTCACGGGGATGCCTTCAAGTTCCGACTGTTCGCGTCGGGTTGTCCTGTGCTTACAGAGACGCCGTACCTCCGCCCAGGGCCCTGGGCGTGGGGACACCCAGCGCGTGGTCGGGGCCACTGCCATGTCCTCCCGGTGGAGGCTGACTCCTGACTTAGTGCCTGGCACGCTGTCACGTGTGCAGCTTCCCCCTGAGCTTGGCGCACTTTACAGTTGAGTCGTAGCGGAGTGAGACCGAAAGGAAGTTAGTATGTGAACTTGACTGATCAATAAAAAGCACTAGTATCTTGGGTTGCACTTGGATACTTGAAATGCGCTTTCCGCGCGCGGTGATTAACTTGTGTCCCTGCCGTCATTTCTTTCTCTCAAAGTGCTTGGTGCGACAGCCGCGTCACGCCTGGGTCGGGTCGAGCCCGGACTGGGAGACGCGGTGTGGAGTGCGGCCCGTACCCGCAGCTCTCCTTGGGGACTGTGCGATCGATGGCCACTCGGGCAGGCCTGCGAACTTGACGGCATTTCTTGCTCTCCCTTCCAAACTCAGAAAAGAACTTGGGGCCGTTGGGCGGAACCCCAAACCAGGTCTCTCACCTGGACCTTCAGGTTATGCAAATGTCGTGATCTTTGTGTTGAGCCAGAGCAGAAGTAAGCCTTTACAAAGGGCTGTCTTGGGGCGCCCGGCTGGACTGAGCCAGCCGGTAGGGCGTTGCGACTCTTCATCTTGGGTTGTAAGTTTGAGCCCCACATTGGGGGTAGAGAAGACTTACAAGTAAAAAAATAACAAGGATTGTCTTGAAGAAGCAGACGTCTGAGAGCCGGGCGGCACTGCCTGCAGGCGCTGTTTGGAGACCCAGACTTTGGGATCAATCCTGGCTGAGCGGCCCCTGGCTCCACAGCCTTGGGGCCTGATGGGGGTGGGGGGTGGGCGTGTGCGTGGCGCTCTTCTGGGCCTCATCCCACCGTGCCTGGGAGTCTGTTCAAGAAACCCTGGGTCCCTGGGTGCTAGGGTCTGGGGCTGTCCCCAGGGTTGAGGCCCGTCAGCGGTGGAAACCATCTGGGCCGCTCCTGGGTGGCCAGGCCTGTCTGATGGTGAGCGGTGGATGGGCACTGGCCTTAAAAGGTGCCCGGAGAAAATCTTGGTCCAGGCTGGTGCAGAGGTTCTTGGGAGAGAGCATGACATACACGAGAATGGTCTGTAGGGAAGCTGTACTGAATCCAGATTCTGGAAAAAACTGTGGCAGCCACGGGGCAGGGAAGGCTGTGAGTTTTATTGGACAAACAAAAGGCTGATCGCGAGAAAAGATCAGCTGAAGTCTGACACATTGAGCCACTGTGTTGGCCAGAAAGTGACTTCTGCCATTGCCTTAAAACCAGGGTGACGGTATGATTTGATGTCCACACTGGAACCCTTTGGTGTGTAGAGAAGCACCAGGAAAAAGGACAGTGGTGACAGATGTCACACTGTCACACACTGGACAGGGGAGAGAAGGGCCGGAGCCATGCTGTATAATCCTGTATAAGTTAGGACCAAGGACCTGTCTTCCAGAGTCCTTGACCGGGTTGGGGGAGCAGGGCAGGTCCCCAGGACGGAGCAGGGTGGGGGAGGGGTCCCCGTGCGGGGAGCCAGCCTCTCAGTGGTGCTGTAGGTGCTTGTCTGTGCTGGCTGTGCTTTGGGTTGAATGCCGATGCCTGTCAGGGCGGAAGGCTCTTTGGTTAGCGACGGAGGGATTTTAACCCTGGCTTCTCATCAGAAAAACCTGGGGAATTTTCTGAGAAGTGCAGGTTCCAGGCCCAGCCCCAGATCTACTGGATCTGGGCTTCCGGGGTGTGTGTGTGACCCGCTCCCATTGTTCTCAGGTGCCTGGTGTGCTCACTGGCACGTGGGGCCCACGCGTGGGGTCATAGCCCAGTTTTGGGTCCAGAGCCCTTTGGAGAACTTAGTGGAGAACCTAGTTACCTTCCTGAAGAAAAACAACGAACACAGAGTTTTACGATTTTTCCCTTTTTGTTTCTCTCTCGTATTTGGGACGTTGGTTACAAATTCATCCCTGACACCGCCCGTCCCCACCATTAGTGTTCAGGAAGTGTAGCTGGGAGTAACCAGCAGGTCTGATATCAGCGCAGTGAGAAGGGCATACCTGGAGATGAGCGGGAAGGACATGGGACAGGGAAGGGCAGCAGGCAGACGGAAGGGCAGGTATGGCAGACGGGACTCTGTGCCGTGACGGAGATGGCATCTGAAGCATCCTGCCGGACGGAGGCCGGCAGCAGGCTCTGTGGGAGTGGGGGCCCTGAGGATGGCCGGGGCACCCCCTTTCGCTGCTCCCGCACCCCGCATCCCAGCTGCCACGGTCGCTGCTTGCTGGTCCGCGGCATTTGGTTCTCATCAAAGGCTACCAGGCAGCGCGGGGGGGCTGGCCCTGCGGACTCTCAGGGTTCTGCACGGCACCCTCTGGCGTGGTGGCTGCTCGGCAGTCTTCTGTGAACACAGACCACAGGCCGTGGACAGAGTTCCCGAGTGTTCTCACGCATTCTCTCGAGCTGCGTTGGAACCGCTTTTTTTCTGTTCCGCAATGACGAGGTCGATTAAAACAAACTTGTGTACGTGAAAAAGCTTGCGTTCATCTCGTGCATGTTTGGAAACACTTGGTGCTGGGTTCTAAGCTCTTGTTCCTTGAAGTGTGTGATGTATTCCTGGCACTCGTTGAATGAGAAGGAGTTTGGTTCAATGGAGGCGGGGATCTGGAGGGGGCACAGGGCGCCAGGAGCGCTCCTGGGTGGCGGAGTGCTTCACTCCCACTTGCCGAGCCGGCCGGCCGGCCGGCTGGCCCAGTCCCACCAGGAAGTGTGGTCCCCTGCTCTCCTCCTCCGGGCCAGGCAGCTTCACCCTCTGCCTGCCTCTCAAGGCCACCCTGTTGGCCCGGAGAGTGGTAAACAGTTAGCGATTGACAGAGCATGAGAGGTTCGTGTACCTTCCTCAAGCCCAGAAGCCCTCCGTTTCTTGAGTGGACTCCTAACCCCACCCACCAGCCTTTGCACAGTGGCTGGTAAACCGGCTTGGCCGGTCTGGAAGCGAGGTGGTGCCTTCTGAGGGTGGCGCCAGTGTGTTGGAAAGAGCCCACAGCTGGCCGTCGGGGGAGAAGCTGTAAATTCTGCAGTGTCAGGAGGCCGGCTTTTGCGATGAAGATGACGCAGACCCGGGCAGGGACACACACAGGGACACACGGCTCACCCGCCGTGGCCTGGAAACGGCACTCGGTGGAGCGTCGCGTACAACCGGATGGAATCACATCCCGCACGGGTGGAAGGACGCAGAGCCCAGCGGTCAGTCCCTGCTCCCGCCCCTGGTCCCGGAGGCCCGAGTGCGCGGCGCTCCCCGGGAGGGAGGCAGACAGTCGGCGAGGCTCACCTTGTGAGACAGGCTGTGTGCGCCCCGAGCAGGTCACTGACCGCCCCGGCTGTGCGGCTGTGGGAACGGGCGGGCCGGAGGGTCCCTCGGCGGGTGGCCCGAGGCGTGTTTCCGTGACTGCGAGTTGAGCGGTGCAGGCGGTTTTGGAAAGGAGAGCGAACGGAGGGCTCGGCCTGATACCCTTACTGGGTCGCACCCGGCGGCTGGGTCTCGGGAAGGTCCTGCCGCTCCGACCGGCCCCGGTGCTTCGGCGCCTCCCTGCTCTGCCAACCGCCTCCTTGTGTGTGGCGGGATCCCGGGAGCTGGCCGGGGCTGCCGGGTGGGCAGCGGGAAAGGCCCCTGCCCCGTGGTCTCAGCCCCATTCTGGGGGCTCAGAGTCCCCGGCAGCCAGCGGCCCCGCGCCCGACGGAGCCCGCGAGTGCGTTTCTGGCGGGCTGGAGCCTGTGCGGGTGGGGTGTGTGCCTGCATGAATTTTTGAGGCTTTACGAAGGAGGGAAGTGGGGCTGTGGCATAGTGGGCATCCGTAGGGCAAGGGTCTGCAGGCATCCGGTGACAGGTGGGCCTCGTGCACAAAGTGGGCTTCGAGGCACGAAAAGCACGAGCGGCCCCAAGCACGGTGTCCCCCCACAGGGGCGAGGTCTCCAGAGGCACAGGACGGGGTGGCTCGGGGCCCCTCACTCGAGCCTGTGGAGCTGCCTGGTGGAGAGAGCCCGCGAGCCGGGGGCCGCCCCTCCGCCAGGGCCAGCGTCCCCCTTGCCACGCGTTAGCGTCACCGAGAAGCCTTGGCTTCCCTGTTCCTGATTTCTCGCTCCCATCTCTGCCACCCTGTTCCTCACTTCCCGCCCACGGCTAATTGTCCAGTGTGTGCTGAGCCGTGCGGCTTCCACGCTCGGAAGTGACAGTGTTTCCTGCTCCGGGGCTCCTGGGGAACCGCCGAGCACTCTGGTAACTTTCAGTGTTACTGTAATGTCTCTCCAGGGGTCTCACGCCCACGGGGACCCGGGGGAGGGGGAGAGGGGGGGCTTTGGTTTGTCGCCTCCCTAGCCTGAGGCTCACCGAGTTCTCTGCACTGTGGACGGGGCATCTGTTTCTAGATCGTTTGGCCTTGACCTTAAGAGCTGGGGCCATGAGAGCCTTGCCATGAACTGTGCTCTAGAAGGTACAGCTTCTGACTTGTGCTGGATGGAAACCCAGCCGTAGGCAGTCGGCGCCTTGAGCGCGGGCCCAGTTCCCGAGGCTGCTCTCCGTGCAGGGCCTCCCGAGTCGCCCCGGCGATCTTCTGGGACCGCCCTGCGTTCCGGCCTGGGGTCCGCGTCCACCTCCCTCCCCGTGCCAGCGCCCGACCTTGCTCTGCAGGTCCCCGATTTCACACGGCCACACGGTTTCCTGGTGAGAATGAGCCACCACTTTGAGCCGTCAGAAGGAGAAACAGATAATGGCAGCTTTTCCCTTTTAGCGTAAAGCTGAGTAAGCTTAGCAGCCAGTGCGTTTGAGCTCTGTCCATAATCGTTTATTTTTTGTTTGCAGTGCTAATGTACTTTTTGCAATTTTTACAGTTGTGGTAGAATAACATAAAATCTACCATCCTAACCATTAAAAAAAATAATCTCTATACCCACGGTGGGGCTGGAACTCACAACCCCAAGATCAAAAGTCGCGCGTCCCACTGACTGAGCCAGCCAGGCGCCCCCATCTTAACCGTTCTTCCAAGCGTGCGTTTCAGTGGTAGTAAATCATTCATAACTGTGTGGAACCCTGATTGCCACCCCTCGCTGGCACCGTTGTCATCTTGTAAAATTGAAACTCTGTCCCCATTAAACACTAATCCCCATTCCCCTGCCTCCGGCTCCTGGCAGCCATCATCTGTGTCTGTGAATTTAACCACTCCTTAAGTCCTCATGTAAGTGGAATCGGACAGTATTTGCTTTTTGTGCCTGGCTCACTTCACCGAACACAGTGTCCTCAAGGTCCCTCCACGTGGTGGCGGGTATCAGCCTTTCCCTCCTTTCCGAGGCCGGGATGGTCCATTGCACGTATAAACCACACTTGGTTTCTCTGTTCACCCGCCAGCGGGTACCGGCTCGCTTCCACGTTTTAGCTGTTGTGCATAATTCTGCTGTCAGCCTGCGTGTGCAAACATCTCTCCAGGACCTTGCGTTCCGTTCTTTTGGGCAAATGCCTATAGGTGGGATTGCTGGCTCATGTGATAATTCTGTGTTTAATTTTTGAGGAACTGCTATCCTTGCCTCGTTCCTGATCTTAGAGGAAAAGCTTTCAGTCTTTCGCCTTTGACCGTATTTGCCGTTGGGTTTCATATTTGGCTCTGCCTAGGGGGTGCTACTGTCCTTCTATTGCTAGCTTTTAGAGTTTTTATCACGAAAATGTGTTGAATTTTCTCAGATGATTTTTATGCATCGACTGAGAAGGTCATGTGTGTTTTCCCCATGATTCTGTTGATGTGACCTATTATATCAATCAGTTTTCATATGTTGAACCATCCTTGCACTCCAGGAAGAAATCCCATCTGGTCGTTGTGTGTGGTCCGTTTAATGTGTTGCTGAATGCGTTTTAATGTGTTTATTTTACTGTTATTTTGTTGAGGACTTTTGCCTCTGTGTTCTTAAGGGACATTGCAGTGTAGTTTTCTCCTCTTGTAGTGTCTTTGTTTGGCCTTGGTTCAGGGTCATGCTGACCTCATAGAATGAGTTAGGAAATGCTCCCTCCTCTTCAATTTTTGGAAAAGTTTGAGAGGAATTGGTCTTAGTTCTTCCTTGGATGTTTGGTAGAATACACCAGGGAAGCCATCGGGCCTAGGGCTTTTCTTGGCTGTGAGATTTTTTTAAGTGAAATTTTTAAATTTATTTTGAGAGAGACAGAGAGAGAATGTGAGCAGGGAGAGGGGCAGAGAGAGAGAGAATCCTGAGCAGCCTCCATGCTGTCCGTGAGGAGCCTGATGCGGGCCTTGATCTCACGAACCAGGAGATCATCACCTGGGCCAAAATCAAGAGTTGGACGCGTGACTGACTGAGCCACCCAGGCGCCCCTGCTGTGAGAGTTGATCCTTGGTTCAGTCTCCTTACTAGTCACAGATTTTGTGTTTCTTTGTGAGTTCGTCTTGGTGAGTCTTGTGTTTCTGGGAATTTGTCCGTTTCAATCTAGGGTATCCAGGTGGTTGGCGTATCATTGCTCATAGTTCGTAGGCTCTTACGAGTCCTTTGTATTTATGTCGAATCGGTAAGAATGTCCAATTTTAGTTGCGTATTCTCTCTCTTTTTCTTAGTCTACCTAGCTGAAGGTGATCATTTTGTTGATGTTATCAGGGAACCAACTTTTAGTTTCATTGATTTTCTCTGTTTTTCTGTCGTTAGTTCCTTCTTTCTGCTAACCCTGGTAGTTGTTCTTTTTCCTCAGCTTGTAAAGTCGGGTTGTTGATTTGAGTTAGGTTGAGAGTTTTTGATGCTGGTGTTGGCAGCTATAAGTTTCCCTCACCTCAGCATTTACTTTCACTGCGTCTCCTACGTGTGGGTATATTGTGTCTTCATTTTCATTTGTTTCTAAGTATTTTCTCATTTCCCTTGTGATTTCTTCTTTGACCCGTTGCTTGCTTAAGAGCCTGCCGTTGGATTTCCACAGTTTGTGAGTATTCCAGTTTTCCTTCTGTTCTTGATTTCTAACTCGTTGCCTTATGGGCAGAGGAGGTGATTTGCGCGAGAGTTTTTGGTAAAATCTGTTGAGATGTAATCTGTGGCCTGACATCCGGTCGCTGCTGGAGACCGTGTGTCCTGTTGCTGCTTCGGGGCGTGTTCCAGGTGTGTGCCGTATTTTTGCTTGGTTTACTGTGTCAGGAAGGTCCTCTGTTTCCTTCCTTCCCTTCCATCTGGTTGGTGCCTGCCAGCACGTTTTTAAAGTGTTAGATAGGACTTATGTTAGTTTGAACAATCTAAAAATCCAGAATTGTAATTTAACTGCAGAAGTAGATTCAGCACTTTCATTTACTCGTGTCCCTGTCTTTCCCTGTGAAGATCACCTCTGGGTGGCCTTGCCTGGTGTTTATAGAGAAAGAGAGATAACTCACAGTTCTCCTCTTGAGTTGACCCTGGAGAGTAACCTCCAGGGTCCCTTAGCCACTCACTCAGTCCTAGACGAGCAGATCTGTTTTCCTGAGAGAATCGTGCAGATGGATGTGTAAGGCTTAGGCACAGGTACTTGTACGAGTGGTGGAGGAACATTTTGCGTTTTGAGCCGGGGTCCTGCATGCACGGACGGCAGTCAGAGGGCGCCCCTCGGAGAGAGCTGGATGAGACTCCTCTCAATGAGGGGAGGCGTTTTGTGGGAAGCCGGGAGGACTGGTGGTGTCTCCCAGGCTGGTGTCCCCCCCGGAGAGGCCGGGAGTGACTATCCACTGCAGCCCGTGGTGGGGGATCACCGCACGGACGGGTCAGGACTCCCGGCCCCTTCGCCTCTCACACACCCTCATCCCATCCCATGGACCCGCTGGAAACTGCTCTGTAGCAGCGCCCACCCTGGTTACCTGCCCCCCCCCGCCAGGCAGTACAGAGGCTGCGCTTAGGAGAGACAGGGGAGGGCTGTTGCTCCCGTCGTTGACTGGTTTTTCAGAGCAAGTCGGCTGTGCTCGCTGCGGCAGCACGGGCACGACATCAGAGCGACACTGAGGAGATCGGCGTGGCCCCTGCTCCAGGACGACCGGGTGAGCCGGCATCATCCGGGACGGCCGCCCTGTCTCCTTCCGGCATCTTCGCGAGCGAGGACCCAGCTGTACCCGATGTGTCTCAGTGTCTTGGAGCATCCTGGTGCTCAGACGGTTCTCCTGTTGCAGACGGAGCCTCTGCAGGCCCATCCTGCGTCTTGTGCCGGGACCCCCAGCTTCTTGCTGCCCTGGAGGGTTGGTTCCCAGTCCTGGATTCAGCCATTTCTCCTCGAGGGACCCTGGGTCCTTTGGGTGGCTTCTAGCGGGGCAGAGCAAGTTGCTACGTGTTGTAGAGGGGACACATTTTGTCCCAGAGGAACTGGAAGTAAGTAATAACTTCTCTAATGTGCACAGGCAACGAATCCCGGACTTGTGAGCGAGGCTTTGTATGGGTGTTTCCAGAAGCCGCCTGGTGCCTGGTTCCGCCGGTGGGAAGGGAAAAGGCGTCTCTGAGAGAGCCCTTCAAGGCAGGAAGAATGGAGGAACTTAATGCCAGTTTGTTTTCTAGTGTGGGAGCTCGTGTAGCACCGGACGGGGCCAGAGATGAGTCGCTCTGGGGACGTCACCCAGTGCTGTGTCTCCACTCCAAGGACAGAGGGCATGTCCCTCCCTCGGGACTGGCTGCTCCTTCACCACCCTCAGAACTCGCAGGAGGGCTCTGGGGGCCCAGATCTGTGTTACTAACATAGTGAGATGGACTCAGCTTGTTTTTGTAAAAAGTCAAACCTTCTGGGACAAGGCTAATCTTTTGCTCAGTCTCTTCCATTTATAAAATCCTGTTCTTCCGGGCGCCTGGGGGGCTCAGTCAGTTGAGCGTCTGACTTCGGCTCAGGTCACGATCTCGCGGTTCGTGAGTTCCAGCCTCGCGTCGGGCTCTGTGCTGACGGTTCGGAGCCTGGAGCCTGCTCCGGATTCTGTGTCTCCCTCTCTCTCTGCCCCTCCCCCTCCTCTCAAAAATAAATAAACATTAAAAAAATTGTTTAAGTTGGCATGAAACAAATACTTGAAAATCATTCTGCACATTTGCCTATAACCACCTGTTGTAGCTTCCGTGTGGGTATGTGGTGACCTTCAGTGGGACGTCTGGGGGCAGGTTTGAGCCCCAGACATGTGAGTGAACACCCAGCGAAACTGACCCGCCTTTCCACCTGTACAGTAACTCTCTCCGAATCTATCATTTCATTGTTTTCTTTTTAAAAATTTGTAATTATCTTTAAAAAATGGAAGTACTGTATAAGGGCGCCTGGGTGGCTCAGTTGGTTAAGTGTGTGACTCTTGATCTCGGCTCAGGTCACGATCTCACGGTTCGTGGGTTCGAGCCCCGTGTCGGGCTCTGTGCCGACAGCTCGGAGCCTGGAGCCTGCTTCGGATCCTGCGTCTCCCTCTCTCTCTGCCCCTCCCCTGCCCGCTCTTACTCTGTCTCTCTCTCAAAAATAAATAAACATTAAAAAAACACTAATAACTTCAAATAATGATTACTTCTTGATCTATTATTCATTGATGGATATTTATATTATGGATGTTTTCATACTTTTTGAAATCCTGCATTTGTTAGATCACGCATTTTATTTCTTTGCTTACGTTGTAATTGAGATTGATTTCAAGAATGGTGAATGGGTATTTTCTAAATGTTTCTGAACCATAAAACTTCTGAAAGCTAAGTGTACTGAAATGTTTTCTCCCCTTAGATTTCCAGTGCCTGAGTGCCTGTTGGGTTTTTACCAGAAGGAAAGTTCACGGCGCACGATTACTTACGCTGTCGACGTAGGTCCAGTACAATGGTTCAGTAGAAGAGCCAAGACTGGGTGGCGAGGGAGCCGGGCTACGGCAGGATGAACAGCGAGGAAGAATTCTTTGATGCTGTCACAGGTGAGCGGGGCAGGAAGTGACTCAGAGGCCACGGTGTGTGCGCAGGGGCTTGGGTCCGGGTCCTGGACTTGGCCTTGGGATGTGAGGCCATGCAGGAGAGAGACCCGACGTGTCCCCCGGCGTTGACTCGCATGTACCCTATCCCGGCTGCGGGGGAGAAGCTCAGCTTTGGGCCACAGGTGATAACAAGAAAGGGCAACTGGGTTTTAGTCTTTAAAAGAGTTGCCCTGGAGCGTAAATACTGTTATTTGGATCCTAAGTGAGCCGGGCAGTTCTCTTATGTTATTTATACGTAACGATCAAAGCCTCGCTGTCCTCTGTTCTAACCACATCTTGTTTAGTGCTGCGTGAAGTGTTCCAAGGCTCGTGAGTGTGCGTGCTTCCGCGATGCCTCTTACCGTTTCAGAGTTCAGCTACGTTTCGCTTTTCCTGTGACCATTTTAAGGACTGCTGCGCAGCCTGTAGTCTGAAAGACGATAGTGTATGCCTGACAGAAAACAGTGTGTTGAGGGCATGGGGATTTGTGCGGGTGCGGGGGGCGGGAGGGGCAGGGGAGGGGAGGCTGGGCTGGGTCAGCCCGCACTGGCTCAGCTTGGCTGCTCGCCATCACCGGGAAGGAGCCCTGAGCACCTGCAGGAAAGTGACAAGTAGCCGTATGGGCCCGAAGACTCTTCAAGTTCAAGATGGCCCTCCATTCTCTGTGGTCAACAATTGGAACGTCCTTTGTCATCTGTTGAGGACTCTTACTGGTGGAAAGGGACTTCGAGAAACTATTCTAGTCCAATTCCCTCCTCCTCAGGTGGAGGAGTATAAAAATAGCAACTTTGAAATATTTCTCCAGACCAGGTTTTTAGTGACGGTCTTTCAGGTGTGGCCAAAGGGGCTACTTCCGTAGTGACTGCTGTGACTGTCCCCTCTGGACACGCTTTGCTGTGTGAATGTCTGTCTCCTGGAGCCCGGTCAGTGTGCCCGGGGCGTTCGTCACTCACCGGCCAGACTGGCACCTCCTCCCAGACCAGGTTGATGGACCGACAGCCCGACTGTTGACTTATTCTTGTTTGAGATGCAGGCAGCAGGAGGGGCCGAGCTCAGTTACTTGAGTCGTCTTTCCTGGTCTCGTAGCTGCGGTCTTCCTCGAGACTGTGCGCCTAGGAAATGCGCTTGTCCGCCTAACCTGCACGGTCCTCAGTGACCGCTTGCGTCGTCCGAGACATGCTCTGTGGGCCTCCTGGCCCTTGTGGGGCGACCAGGCCTCTAATCAAGAGAGCCGGCCTTGGCGTGCCCTTCCCTTAGGACTCTTGTGGGCAGCTTCCTTCTGCTTGGGACCAGTGGACCTGGACCCCTGAGCGTCTCCAGACTCTGCCTGGAGACTTTTCCCCAGATTGGACCTGAGCTTTGTGTAGCCCGCCGTTTAGAGAAGCGCCCCCC